AAAAGGTGAAGGTAAGTAATCATTTTCTGTTGTCGTCATTTCATTTGTCAGAAATTAGAAACGCATTTAGCGGAACAAACTATGGCCGCTCAAACAGAGCGCATATAGTTCGCTATAGCACGGGGTATATGCTATTTTCGTTACATATTAAAGCCCAACCGCTGAATTACCTGCCCAAGTTACTAGAATCACAGTGCAAAAGTAAAATAAGCCACCTGTGAAATCGGAGGCCGAATATTCCTTCTAAGCATCGTGTGGAAAACAAAAATTTCAAGTTTACCTACTGTGTTTTTTTTTGTAAAAGGTGAAGAGGGTAAGTCAGGATACGCCGCTTATTTTATCTTGTTTGCGCCATTCCAGAAAACAAGACTGATTGCATGAAATAGATTGCAACTCATTAAAACACACTTTCGACCTACATATACTTATGCAGTTCCCATGAGCTTGTTGAGAGTTGGAATTCAGCATGATCATGCAGTTTATGTGATTCGGTAGAATCTGAAATCAATTTCACCGGTCATTTCGATTAAGCCACATATAGAAGTATATGACTTGTTTATTCAATGAAATCTTCATCTGAGGCACTTTCCATAAAATTTGCTCGAATACTTGGGATGTTGAGTAGTTTGATAAAAAGATATTTTGTATTTTGAATAATAAATTCAAAATTACAGAATAATGTGGTAGTATGAAAGCTGAATATAATGAATAAGTCAATGTTCTGATATATTCATGAAACAAAATAACTGAGTGGAAATCAGGATACATTTATGAATACTTTGATCGCCGAGTTATATATACTGCTCATTATAACATAGCATATTTAATTCATAATGTGGACATAGTTTAGTGGATTTCTGGCAGCTGTGACAAATTGTTTGTTTTCAAAAGAAACACATTATCGCCATATCAACGTATGTGATCCCATATGAGAACATGTTTTAAAGAAAGTGAATGTCTTTCTCACATACTTAAGGTTAAACATTAGTTAAGTAATCATTGACCTAGTCAGATAAATCATGAATTCATAAGGCGAAATTCATTGATTCGCAATTTGCAGAAGAGTCTAGAGAGTTTCGCCTGAAAAACATACATTTTCAGAAGGAAATTTGTGCGATTTAATAAATTAATTATAACGAGGAGTATGAAATTATTCGAATACTCTTCAATATATCAGCCTCATTATAAATTGTGAAATTGGAAAACTGATCTACACACCTTATAAGAAATTTTATTATGAATTTTCAACAACTGTAATATATTGGTCCTCCAGCTTAGTGCACAGGTGGAGTTACCGCCTTCCTCTAATTCGAAAGAATGCTCACATATGAATTTCGCGCTTTGTACACTAAAGTATGAGTTCTACTGCTACGTGCTCCAGAAATACTAGGCATTCAATTGACACACATCACTATGTGTTACAGAAACTCAGAAGTGAAATAATCAAGTAACAGACGATGAAAGCTCCGCAATTAAACCAAGGAGCTCAGACAACACTATCAATTACAAATCATCCACCTGAGTTACAAATCTTTTCTATTATTTCAAGATAGCCAACCAGCTTGACGTGAATCATACACCTAGATGTGTTTGCAATGTGAACTGTATTAGAGGCGACTACTTTATCATATCATGTATGGTAAAAGCTCTGTGAAAAATGGGAAAAATTTCTGTAATAGCATTAATTTCGAAAGAGTCGATTATTGCATAATATTCACTCAGCGTACGTTACATAGCAATTTGTATATATATATATATATGTAATGTAGGTCAGCTTTAGAAAATCGAAATGCAGCAACAGTTTAAATATAAATGACATTCGCTCAATCTCGCTGTCACTGAAAAGGTGAAGGTAAGTAATCATTTTCTATTGTCGTCATTTCATTTGTCAGAAATTAGAAACGCATTTAGCGGAACAAACTATGGCCGCTCAAACAGAGCGCATATAGTTCGCTGTAGCACGGGGTATATGCTATTTTCGTTACATATTAAAGCCCAACCGCTGAATTACCTGCCCAAGTTACTAGAATCACAGTGCAAAAGTAAAATAAGCCACCTGTGAAATCGGAGGCCGAATATTCCTTCTAAGCATCGTGTGGAAAACAAAAATTTCAAGTTTACCTACTGTGTTTTTTTTTGTAAAAGGTGAAGAGGGTAAGTCAGGATACGCCGCTTATTTTATCTTGTTTGCGCCATTCCAGAAAACAAGACTGATTGCATGAAATAGATTGCAACTCATTAAAACACACTTTCGACCTACATATACTTATGCAGTTCCCATGAGCTTGTTGAGAGTTGGAATTCAGCATGATCATGCAGTTTATGTGATTCGGTAGAATCTGAAATCAATTTCACCGGTCATTTCGATTAAGCCACATATAGAAGTATATGACTTGTTTATTCAATGAAATCTTCATCTGAGGCACTTTCCATAAAATTTGCTCGAATACTTGGGATGTTGAGTAGTTTGATAAAAAGATATTTTGTATTTTGAATAATAAATTCAAAATTACAGAATAATGTGGTAGTATGAAAGCTGAATATAATGAATAAGTCAATGTTCTGATATATTCATGAAACAAAATAACTGAGTGGAAATCAGGATACATTTATGAATACTTTGATCGCCGAGTTATATATACTGCTCATTATAACATAGCATATTTAATTCATAATGTGGACATAGTTTAGTGGATTTCTGGCAGCTGTGACAAATTGTTTGTTTTCAAAAGAAACACATTATCGCCATATCAACGTATGTGATCCCATATGAGAACATGTTTTAAAGAAAGTGAATGTCTTTCTCACATACTTAAGGTTAAACATTAGTTAAGTAATCATTGACCTAGTCAGATAAATCATGAATTCATAAGGCGAAATTCATTGATTCGCAATTTGCAGAAGAGTCTAGAGAGTTTCGCCTGAAAAACATACATTTTCAGAAGGAAATTTGTGCGATTTAATAAATTAATTATAACGAGGAGTATGAAATTATTCGAATACTCTTCAATATATCAGCCTCATTATAAATTGTGAAATTGGAAAACTGATCTACACACCTTATAAGAAATTTTATTATGAATTTTCAACAACTGTAATATATTGGTCCTCCAGCTTAGTGCACAGGTGGAGTTACCTCCTTCCTCTAATTCGAAAGAATGCTCACATATGAATTTCGCGCTTTGTACACTAAAGTATGAGTTCTACTGCTACGTGCTCCAGAAATACTAGGCATTCAATTGACACACATCACTATGTGTTACAGAAACTCAGAAGTGAAATAATCAAGTAACAGACGATGAAAGCTCCGCAATTAAACCAAGGAGCTCAGACAACACTATCAATTACAAATCATCCACCTGAGTTACAAATCTTTTCTATTATTTCAAGATAGCCAACCAGCTTGACGTGAATCATACACCTAGATGTGTTTGCAATGTGAACTGTATTAGAGGCGACTACTTTATCATATCATGTATGGTAAAAGCTCTGTGAAAAATGGGAAAAATTTCTGTAATAGCATTAATTTCGAAAGAGTCGATTATTGCATAATATTCACTCAGCGTACGTTACATAGCAATTTGTATATATATATATATATGTAATGTAGGTCAGCTTTAGAAAATCGAAATGCAGCAACAGTTTAAATATAAATGACATTCGCTCAATCTCGCTGTCACTGAAAAGGTGAAGGTAAGTAATCATTTTCTATTGTCGTCATTTCATTTGTCAGAAATTAGAAACGCATTTAGCGGAACAAACTATGGCCGCTCAAACAGAGCGCATATAGTTCGCTGTAGCACGGGGTATATGCTATTTTCGTTACATATTAAAGCCCAACCGCTGAATTACCTGCCCAAGTTACTAGAATCACAGTGCAAAAGTAAAATAAGCCACCTGTGAAATCGGAGGCCGAATATTCCTTCTAAGCATCGTGTGGAAAACAAAAATTTCAAGTTTACCTACTGTGTTTTTTTTTTGTAAAAGGTGAAGAGGGTAAGTCAGGATACGCCGCTTATTTTATCTTGTTTGCGCCATTCCAGAAAACAAGACTGATTGCATGAAATAGATTGCAACTCATTAAAACACACTTTCGACCTACATATACTTATGCAGTTCCCATGAGCTTGTTGAGAGTTGGAATTCAGCATGATCATGCAGTTTATGTGATTCGGTAGAATCTGAAATCAATTTCACCGGTCATTTCGATTAAGCCACATATAGAAGTATATGACTTGTTTATTCAATGAAATCTTCATCTGAGGCACTTTCCATAAAATTTGCTCGAATACTTGGGATGTTGAGTAGTTTGATAAAAAGATATTTTGTATTTTGAATAATAAATTCAAAATTACAGAATAATGTGGTAGTATGAAAGCTGAATATAATGAATAAGTCAATGTTCTGATATATTCATGAAACAAAATAACTGAGTGGAAATCAGGATACATTTATGAATACTTTGATCGCCGAGTTATATATACTGCTCATTATAACATAGCATATTTAATTCATAATGTGGACATAGTTTAGTGGATTTCTGGCAGCTGTGACAAATTGTTTGTTTTCAAAAGAAACACATTATCGCCATATCAACGTATGTGATCCCATATGAGAACATGTTTTAAAGAAAGTGAATGTCTTTCTCACATACTTAAGGTTAAACATTAGTTAAGTAATCATTGACCTAGTCAGATAAATCATGAATTCATAAGGCGAAATTCATTGATTCGCAATTTGCAGAAGAGTCTAGAGAGTTTCGCCTGAAAAACATACATTTTCAGAAGGAAATTTGTGCGATTTAATAAATTAATTATAACGAGGAGTATGAAATTATTCGAATACTCTTCAATATATCAGCCTCATTATAAATTGTGAAATTGGAAAACTGATCTACACACCTTATAAGAAATTTTATTATGAATTTTCAACAACTGTAATATATTGGTACACCAGCTTAGTGCACAGGTGGAGTTACCGCCTTCCTCTAATTCGAAAGAATGCTCACATATGAATTTCGCGCTTTGTACACTAAAGTATGAGTTCTACTGCTACGTGCTCCAGAAATACTAGGCATTCAATTGACACACATCACTATGTGTTACAGAAACTCAGAAGTGAAATAATCAAGTAACAGACGATGAAAGCTCCGCAATTAAACCAAGAAGCTCAGACAACACTATCAATTACAAATCATCCACCTGAGTTACAAATCTTTTCTATTATTTCAAGATAGCCAACCAGCTTGACGTGAATCATACACCTAGATGTGTTTGCAATGTGAACTGTATTAGAGGCGACTACTTTATCATATCATGTATGGTAAAAGCTCTGTGAAAAATGGGAAAAATTTCTGTAATAGCATTAATTTCGAAAGAGTCGATTATTGCATAATATTCACTCAGCGTACGTTACATAGCAATTTGTATATATATATATATATGTAATGTAGGTCAGCTTTAGAAAATCGAAATGCAGCAACAGTTTAAATATAAATGACATTCGCTCAATCTCGCTGTCACTGAAAAGGTGAAGGTAAGTAATCATTTTCTATTGTCGTCATTTCATTTGTCAGAAATTAGAAACGCATTTAGCGGAACAAACTATGGCCGCTCAAACAGAGCGCATATAGTTCGCTGTAGCACGGGGTATATGCTATTTTCGTTACATATTAAAGCCCAACCGCTGAATTACCTGCCCAAGTTACTAGAATCACAGTGCAAAAGTAAAATAAGCCACCTGTGAAATCGGAGGCCGAATATTCCTTCTAAGCATCGTGTGGAAAACAAAAATTTCAAGTTTACCTACTGTGTTTTTTTTTTGTAAAAGGTGAAGAGGGTAAGTCAGGATACGCCGCTTATTTTATCTTGTTTGCGCCATTCCAGAAAACAAGACTGATTGCATGAAATAGATTGCAACTCATTAAAACACACTTTCGACCTACATATACTTATGCAGTTCCCATGAGCTTGTTGAGAGTTGGAATTCAGCATGATCATGCAGTTTATGTGATTCGGTAGAATCTGAAATCAGTTTTACCGATCAGTTTGATTTAGCCACATATGTTTTTTTGATTTGAATATTTAAATATATATGTCTGAATCATTTTCCATAGAATTCGCTCGAATCCTTGGCTTGTTGTTTGGTTCAATGAGAATATACTGTGTTTATTATTTCAAGTAACAGTGTCAAATGGACATTAGTATGTGGAAGTCTGATAGCTAACGCTGAAAGCAGCTGGACATTATGAGTGATTCATTGTTGTGAAATATGCGTGAAACAAAATAAATTGGCAGTATTCATGAAAGATTTACAAATAATTTGGCCTTCGATTTATGGATACTGCTCATCATATTATAGCATATTTAACTGATATAGTGAATGTAGTTCTTTGGACGTCTCACTATAGTGACAAGTAGTATGTCTTCAAGAGAAACATATTATCGCCTTTTGAACATATCTGATCCCATATGAGACCATGCAATAACGAAGGCGAATGTCTTTGTCTGATACTCAAGGTTAAATATTAGTGAATCACTTTTTGAGCTATTCAGAATAACCATGTATTATTTATCTGGTTTGTAAATCCTTATAAACCCTGCTCAATCCTGTATAATATTTAACTTTTTTGTGGTGATACTGTATCCGTGATTCGGAATACATGTTAACTTATTTTCTTAGCTTATCTGAATAGGTTTTATTTGGAAACATATAAATTCATATTCAAACAAATATAAGTTAGGCCTTACATGTGAATGTATAAAAATTATAACTAATACAAAGTAACACCATGACACAACAGAAAGTTTAATTTTAAAAGCATAGTTAGAGTTCACATGATGTTTACGAAAAACACAAATTGACTGAAGTACCTTTGTAACTTCAAACTCCACGGGAAGACTCCTCACTAGAGATTTCCCTTATTCTTGGGATGGAATACTTAGCTCAACTCTCATGGTGGTATGATAATTCGCAATAATCGCAATGGAAATACATCGAAAAACAACCATTTATGACTACTAACACAACAAACTGAGTTATGCGACAAATTATCAGTATGGCGACCACTAAACTTATTGTGATTGCATTCCCTTTCATGAGGAAAAAGTTTGAATACAAACGTAAACAATATCTATGAAATTCTGACACCAGCACATATAAATAAGCGAAAAATTTAAATAAGCCTGACGTCTGACGTCCGATAATTATAAATTGATTGAAAGAGGGAATTTATCATGAATATCCAATACCTCAAAGCTGGTAAAAAAAATCATCTAGCTAGTCATTTCAATGTTATCTCTACATATTGACACAAGAATCAACCCCTTACTTTAATCCAAGGAATATAAATATTAAAACATAAGTAGTCATCCATATGTAATAGCTGAAAACAATAGGATATTATCTGCTTTGGTATGTGAAACAAAAGTAAATAAAGCGAAGCATGCAAGTTTAGAAGAAACAAATGGTCGAAAAAATAGAAATTTTCATAGTTTATATACATCAATCATCATTGATTAATTTATTTTTTTTATATTTTCCTTTGTTCTAATAAAAGGTGACAGTGGTGAGTTATAATGTACTCTTCTTTAACTTCATCTCCAGTATTTGAAAGAATTTCTTGTTCATCAAATAAGTGACTAATGCAAGTAGACATTATAAATCTTAGTTGAAAAATGAAGGGAAAACATTTTGACTTCATATCTTTGTTCACTACTTAGCACACTCCACGTGTAACTTTTGAAGTTCAAACTTCTCAAACATTTTCTGGATGATGGAATTCGACAATGACTTGAATTTATTTACCCATCTTTTCTGAATAGGATAAATTCAGACTCACAATACTTTCATAATCGACGGAATATCCGTTTGAATCAGTAATTGGAGAAGCGATCCCAATGCGTTTCTATGTGCGGTGATCTTTCGAAGAATATTCCTTTTTCATATGAACAGTTACCAAGATTTGACAGAATATTTCCCAAATATTTGAGCGCTGATTGAGAAGTGGACATTTGAAAAAATTAAATAAATCTCAGATGAGATTTTACGAACGTAATTTTTCACAAATACTCCTGCGTAGATTGCATCTCAAGAAAACATACTTTAGACATTCATATCGTAATGCAGTCCCTATAAACTTTTCGATTGCAAGCATTTAGCATGAAAACGTATTATGGGTGATTTAAAAGAAGCTGGAATCAGTTAACCAGGCCATTCTGAATGACTTCCACGAATATCCAATATACGAAATTTCGTAAAAATCAAAATTATTTAGCCAGATAGTCGAACGATTTCTCCGCGTGTTAAGGTGTTCTAGATTCTCGTGAAACTGTAAAATGATATTTACGAATTAACTCTCCACTGTAATTCAAGGAACATAGATATTAATAAAGAAAAATACATTCAAATGTGATCGCTGAAAACAATAGGAGATTTTTGTGATTTGACGTACGTGACGAAATTGAATAAAGCAAAGCAGCTAGAAATAATAACCGAATATTATGCACATGTAGATAGTGATAATACCAGTACTGAAAAAAAATAAAATTTTACACATTGCATAAACATGAATCGATTTATAAAACAGATGGAGACGGTAAGTTAAAAATGTACTAAAATGTTAGTTCACGCCAAGTAGTTCAACGAACGCCTTGCACATTGAAAAATGACGAAACAAAGTGGACAGTAGATATCTTAGTTGGACACTGAAGATAAAACATTTTGACCTTCCGTCTTTGTTCACATCTTAGCACACTCCTCATTTGGCCATTGAAGCTTTAATTTAGCAAGAATCTTCATGATGCTAGACTTCAACAATGGCTTGAATTTATTCACCCATCTTGACCGGGTAGGATAAATTCAGACGCACAAGACTTTCATATTCAACGAAATATCCATTTGATTCACTCACCGGAGGAGCGATTCCATTGCGTTTAAATTGTTCAGTGATCACAGTCCACACATACTCCAAAAGTCAGTTTGAGCAAGCTCGTTGAACATTTAAACTTGTGTCGATTTTCCAATAGCTTTGAAATCACTACAACTATGATTTACTTTCAGAAGACAGTCTAATGGACTGTTTCACAGTCTGATGCAAACTCAGCAGGCACTGTAGTAACTATTTTAGGAACCCATATGCGAATCATTTGTTAGAAACATTGATGTCCTGTCTGAATATTTGTTTGCTATCTACGTTTTAACTGCTTAACAATGGAAGTGATTAACTTTATTTCATGTGTTTTAATAAGATTTATGAAATTTAGTATAATGGCCGGAATGAAATTACTCGCGATATTTTCGATTTATGATTGTTTCTTTCTACGTTGCTTCCACGTTTAGACTGGAAAGACTAGCATAAATTTTATTATAACTTTGAAACGACTAGGAAATAAAAGTCCCCGGGCAAGGTTGTGAAAACTGATATCAATTCTACCCAGTGGGTAGTCAGAATGCAAAATTGGAATTTCATAGTGTATAGTATAAAAAAGCAGTACGCTTACAAGTTCTGCTTGTGACCAACTGGCTCAGGCGAACTTACATTTTCCGTGCCTACCTAGGAATGTGTATAAAACCACTGGTTTAATGCAGTTGTAGTGGTGTGATGCGTCATAGGTCCGATTTAGTACATGCTAAGAAATGTTACGATCGGCGCAACCAAGTATGAGTGACGAATGCATTAACCAAGAAATGCTTATCACTAGCACAAAAGTAATAACAACTCGAAAACGTCTTTAAGAGGAGTCTTTGTATTCTCATTGTAAACGCATTGAACAATATCAATTAAGAAAATGAGGAGTCATCACACCCAGCTTTGAAGTGTCTCACCTTTTGTAGTGGAAGTTACAGTTGTTTCTCTACAAATATTGACAATGTTTCAAGGGATCCCACTAAATCTACTTATTTTAAGCCAATTAGTAATGTTTGTTAGAATCTTTAGTACCCAGAAATGACAATTGGAGAATATTTAAGCATAATTTTAATGCACATACAACGTTTTTTCGATGAAGCATGGTATCCACTCCAGATGATTATGATCATTATATTAGACGTGGATTTTAACTCAAATATGAACTATGTTGATTGGACCATTAATTTGAGTACTCAGAAATTTGGTCACATCTCACAATTATTTGTTGATGATGAACAGATTGCAGAGGTAAGAAATTCTCACGATTAAGGAAGGATATTTACATGGAAAACTAACAGTCAGAAATTAAATTTTCAATTATTGTTCATTGTTTATTTTCACATGTTTGTTGCACAATAATTTGTTTGAAGGCAATCAAAAACGTTCGCACCCGTTTTTCTTATTGCTTAACTCAAAATCATCTGTAACATCAAAGAATTACTTTCTGTTGTTAGTGTCGGGACATACAAAACTCCACATTGGTTTATGCATATCCTTTAGACTTCAAAGGTCGCAAAGTAAAAGAGTAACCGCATATTATATCTCATCTGAAGAGAAAGTGCTTCATCCAGCTAATCTAGTAGTGAAAGACAATTAATTCTTTCATTTTTGGGTTGTTCTTAACTAGAAGATATGAATATGAACTACTGATATCAATGGCTGCTTTGTATTCATTGAAGTTATCCAAGCCTGTTGAAAAATGGCAGTTACATAATTATTGTAGCTTATTCAGAAGGAATTCAACCAAACATGTATTAAAAATGTTTCTGTAGCCGACATCACCAAAATAACAAAGAAAGCTTTGGAACGCTTCAGCTTCACTCACCCAGTAACTTTTGAAAGCAAGCAACTTATTAGACAACAAGACAGTTGACGAGTCATCTGAAAATCTTCACTGATACATAGTTCACGACAAACTCTTAAGGATGTTTATTTCATCATGACACATAACACATTACCTAATTATTCTAAGCATCTTGTTCTAAGTGATAAACAATAAGATGCAGTCAAAATTTACTGACATAAAACTGTCCATTCAGTTGGTCATTTGGTGCAATATCAGTTGATTATGAAATCTAGGTTGCGCAATCTCGGTGCACTTTGTTCTCTGTAGTAGCCAAGTGCATGAATTCTGAACACTCAAAAAATGCCCCTCCACATGTCTCATACTTTGTTTTTCTGCGGCACCAGTAATCCTAGTTCCACTCAAAGGACTGACGCTTGATGTCAGTTGGTTGTCTATTTTGCGTATGTTCAATTTATCTACATTCACTTCTGCAGTTGGCAGAAAGTTTTCAGCAAGATAATTGATACAGCTTCAGCATGCGTATTCTTTGTGGTTGACCAAATGGTTTACATAACTGGCTGAAAATAGATAGTGCTAAAAGTACGTAATAAGCTTAAAATGCTTCTATTGTCATGCTTGCAGAGTTTATGAATCATGTTCAGGCACTTACTTGAACTTTGTACTGAAAATCAAGAACTTCTTCCATATTCTAAGTGCTGTAGGTTTACAAGTTGATTCCTTGATAATGAAGACGTATCTTCGTGGTAATCGGTGCACCGTTTATACATTTATCATTTCTATTCGTTGCCTATGTTCAGTCTTCACTAGCTTTTCTGCCGACTTGTTACTTTTACATAATTTTTTACAATTTTGTGTGACATTACACAGAAATTATCCACAGTGTTCAAATCTTTTGAAGTCTTCCTATTGGTCACACTTGCGTATATTTATTTACTCTCTACAGCCTGCTTCAATTTATGGAAAATTACATTTGGCAACAGGTGTCATCGTTTAACTCCTATTTCTACTCAAAGACGCTTTGATTAGTTATCATTCTAGATGCCGAATCCTCATACAGTTATTCAGTGGGATTCATAAACATTAGGGTTACTTCATGGAGTTTCAATAAATCCAACTTTACTATGGCCAATGATATTGGGGGCTTTTACAAATGCGATGTAAATGACAGGTGGAGCTGAACGAAATATTCCCACTTTGAGTCATAAAGGAAATACAGAGAAGTAAACGAATTTTGAAAAGAAAATTTTCTCCGCTGCCTACGTCTTTCTCTTTTGACTCACGTATACAGCTGACTGGCATTCTCGACTTTTTCTGATGATGTTGCACAATTATAATAACGTATTTTCCATGAAGACCTCAACTCACGGTTTATATCCCTATTCCGTGAATAACCAGGGACAGTACTGAATACGCGAAATTCATTCTTTTTGACATTTTCGTGAATCGTTTTCTGTTATTATCAAGAAAAACTTAGTTTTTTCTACACACGTGCGTTATTTATTGTAAAGCATCTCCCTGTCATCTCCTCATCTGTTTAACGTGATTTATGGCTAGTTATCTTTTCTCATCCTAGTCATGAATCTCGATTACCTTATTTTCCTCAAGAAGTTTGTATTCTCTGGAAAATTGTTGTTTACTGATGCTCTTGTGTCTGCTGGACAGATTGTAGGTGGTAGACAGCTGCAGAAACACTTGAATTGAACATAACAGAGCTCCGCCTGCTCCACATTGATTATTCACCTCGCCAAATCGCAGTAATCTCACCTGCATTGACCTCTTTCTGGATAAGGACACTTTTATTTGATGCAGTGTAGTGGGGCAGAGGCATGCTACAGTTATTCGTCCTCGAATTCAGACGTCTTTCTAATTAAAGTGGAGAAGAGACTTATGCTTTCAGTGATTCAAAGTTTAAATTGAAACTGGGATGTATTCTTGAACTGGTTGAGTTGCTAGCTTTACTTCTATCTGTCACTCTTTTCAGTCCCACTGACAGAATAGTAACTCATGCGAGAGTGATGATGTAAGAATAATTATGTGAATGAAGCAAACTGCTCACAAAAGTGCATTACAATGTTGTCTCATAAAGGATCTAAAAGACCAAAAACGGCTATAATACATACTGGAAAACGAAAACCATTTCAGTTGTCCAGAACGAAGCAAAATATGTTTTCGAATAAATTTAGATGCAGATGAAAGTTCACAATTTACTTTTTTAATTGTTAATCAGACATTCTGTATAATTATCAACTTCACTCTTACGAGTTAACTCTGTACAAGTTCGTTATGTTTATGAAGGATATTCATGTAGTAACTTAGACATTTTCATCCAAAGGGTCTCATACTGCACAAAGTTCTCAATGATGATTCGCTCAAATGACTCACAGCCATATCTGCTTTGGAATAATTTATTCTGGATGAGACACACAGACAAAGATGATGTTAGCTGACAACATAATCTCATGTGGAATATATGAAATGACTTCAATTCATGCAAATTCAACCAATATTTGTAATTGTAGATATCCCATTTATTACTGTTCTCGAAGACATCTTTGAAATTACCTGACAGTCCAGCTAAACATTTTATAGGAGGAGTGTTAAGTATTTCCTGCACTTAAGGGATGAGTCTGCATGCAACGCAGGTTTGAACCCTAACGGGTAACTTGAAAAATTCGATTAGAATATACTTGAAGTGTTAATCGAATCTGTCACCCATCCTGTACCAACACAAAAAGGGAAAGGAGGTAAGTCATGATATGACCTTTTATTAGTTTCATCCCTTGCAGTCAAAAGATGACTATTCGAAACAAAATGTCATTCTGTAAAACTGAATGTATTCAACCATATTGTAACATTTTTATTATTAAAATTCATCCCTAGAATTTCGAGGAGAACTTACAGTTAAAACACAGTAAAATAAAATGATAAATAACATCAGATACCAAACATGTTGAAGTGCATATAGTTTTGTAATTGAAAGATGTTCTGTTGAATAGAGAAATAATTCCTTTGTGATTTAATTATAGACATCGAAGTCAAATTTTAAAGGGTTCGCATTTGCGTTGTTAGTCTATGAAAACGTTCAGAGGCTATTTTACGCTAGAAACCAAACAAATCAAGGTGTATGAGGGATAATACTATATAAAAAATATTAAACAGTTAGACAAAGTCGACAGGGTCAACAAGTAATCAGTTAACTAATGAACAGACATCTATAAAATGAATGATAAGAAAAATAAAACTTAGGATTGAGAATGAGTTACAAAAGATGAATTGACTACATTTGAGTTTATTATTCAACAAAGTAAAATTGAACAGTGCGTTCAGAGATGTATCTTTATTTGTTGTATAATAGACTTTAGAAAACCCTTTCAATTCTTTGTGACCCATTTTCAATCCCTTGTATTTTTGTTTTCAAAGTATAAACTTCGTAATGAGTATTCATCACTTGAGGAATTTCATGATTACTTAATTTTCGAGATATTTTGTTTTACTTTTCCTACTAAATGAATAGAAACTATTGCATATATAATCCCCTAAATGAATGTAGAATGTAGTATCAGAAAGCGACCTCTCTGCTGACTTATGTACTTTTCATACTAAATAGGATTGGGTAAATTGTAACTGTTATTATTTAAGGTTCAGGAGAAGATGACGAAGATGAAGGAAGTAAGTTATGATGTGATATTTCCGTATTTTATATCCAGAAATTCAAAGGTGACTATTTAAGAATAAATTTCGTTTTACAAAAGTGTTAATAATATCATGTAGAAATTCAAAATAAGTGATATAGCAAAGAGAGTCAACTGTTAGTGTTACTATTCTCACTATGAAATGTTTTCGGGTATTATTTAAATTGTTCCACTTGTCACTCTAAATCAATTCTGTTTTGCAACGTTGAACTCTGAGTTATCAAGTTTCCCACAGTATTACGTAGCATTTTCATTTTATTCGATTTGGTTACCAATCCTATAGTTGCACATCCCTTGTCAACATGTATACACCTTATTGAATGCATGTACTCTTTGTTCAGCATCAATTCTTTTGAAAATATGTTCCTTTTATTGCTTAAAATTTATCAGTCATTGGCATTCTACTGTCGAATCTTTGCGAAATTTGGTGATGATTTCTCTCTGATCTCTGATAACACTATTAATTCTCAAGTAAACATTGTCATAAATCTAGTGATTTTTATGTATTATGCACTGCATCCTATTTATCACGTCTCATAACAGAAATGAACTGATTTAGGTCGAATTCTGTCGAAAATCAAGCAGAGGATTTCCAGGTCACAAGAAGTAATTCCATAGGAAAATGTAGACAAGCTTATGCTTACTGCTAAGTGGATCGGTCGACATCAGATTATCAAGTCAGAATTGTTAGAAAATTAGGGTTATGGTTTTGAGGCCATAAAGTTTGTTGTATTTTAGACTGTTTGAGTTCTTATTGCATTCGCTGGAAATAACACAGCAGATAGTTATATTGCGTACAAGGTAACGCATTCAAATACTATGCGTACGCAGTGAGCCACCTCTGTTTCCTCTGTTGATGCCATACAAAGAGAGAAAGCGAAAAAGTACTACGCACAATCCTGCACTCTGTACAGTAGAAGCAGAAGTGAAATATTCAGACATGTACGTACATGCCTGATTTCAAACACTGGTCCGCTGAAATGCAGTCATCGTCATACAGATCAGTGCAACGTCAAAACGTTTCTTGGGAGGTGTGACTTCACAGGACTTTTGAGAAAACATAGGGTGTAGATAAATTTACACTTATGTTGTGACAGGACCTTTGTTATCTGACTAGTGACTGCATTTACCAAGCCCCAAATGTTTTGGTCGGAGCAAAGTGCGTCCTATTGTGTGTCTTTCTAAGCTCTTGCTGGTTAAACAACTTCAAAACTCATGCTCGACCAACATCCGAATACGTCTAGACATGATAGAATTTGTGACACCGAAAGAGGGCAACGACTTCTAGAAAATATACAACCAAATCAAAAGATGTATATACTTTGTAGTGGTAATTCCCTGTTCGGAGAGAAATGAAAAAAGAATTGCAAAATTAGTGAAAATATCAGGATAATTATCAAGAACGTCAGTAGGTTATCCTGCGCTGATGTTCAGATCCATTATTCTGCCACAGTGACTGCGGAATCATGACTCCTAATGTGCGGCAAGTTTTGAAAGCAAAGTGTGAAACAAAGTTTAAAATACGTTTTTGTAAAAGAATGAACGAAGTTTTAGATACACATTCTGTGAATATGATTTTCCAATTGCTCAAACTTAGCAGAATGCATACTTTGTCTTACTAGTCTATGTCAGCTGATGTCCCTTCATTTGCGAATCCAGTAGTCAACAAATGACGTACATAGGTCAACAGATGTAGAGATAAAGCCATATAATTTCAAACATTAAAAATTAGACAACCATTAGTAAGAAGCCAGAGCAGTTGAGAAAAATTGAACCCAAAATCAGAAAATCGCACAGTTATGTAACGTGGAATCAAAGCACACAGATAGTCCGAAACTTTAAATATATACATGTACTTCTAAACAAACATCAAGCGTCTAAGTAAAGTCAGACATTTTACATTCTCAATTCGATTAGATATCTGATCTCAGTGTAAAGCCTTCGGTGAAGTACGGTTGCATAATAGCAGATCACGTCTGGAATTTGATTACCTTTAAATAAATAAGCCGGCTACATGTGTGCAAAAAGTGGCACTACTTCACTAAAGAACAGGTGGCGGAAGTGATAAATTACTTTAAGCCCAGCAGGCAACGAATCACTTAGGGACCATATACATTCACTCCTTCCACACTACAGTACGCCAGGTTTCAAAATGACAAACCTGCCATTTATTAATATATATATATATATATATATATGTATATATAATTTGTAAACCCTGTGTACCAGTCCTGTCCATATGATTCCCCTTTCAATAGAGAATGTTTGTAGCTCAAGTGGATGATGAGCTCGAAAGGCACTGTTAATTGCAGATTCCAGTTGCATTCGCTAATATTTACGTATAACCGAAATCATTTTCCCTTAACAGGGAGTTGTCATGGTGAAGGACGTAAGTGATACTACACCTAAATTTAAAGTTTAACCAAAATAATACCTATAGATATATAGGAAATAATCTATGAAAGCAAAATTAAAATGCACAGACTAACATTTTAGATTATGTTCTTAATTTATACAAATTGTTATGATTATAAACAATAACAATTCGCTCTTGAAACGTTACTTAATAAATAACAGTGTTTCCCAATGTGGTGTATCCTCATTAACAAAGTATTATCGGAATGATGACTAGCACTGGAGCCGAGTTCTAAAAGTAAATTAGTTTGCGGTTTTTTCAGCAAACAAACATGCCTGAAATAATGACATCTGATATTTTCTTATTAAGAAATGTCAGTGACATTCTTGAACGGTTCGGTGGAAAGCAACTTCGGAAGAGCTTAGAGGTGGAACAATTTAGCAATTTAATTTCCCAGCAAATATCAATTAACTTATGTTTGACTGCAGACTGACAGCTTATTATTTGTTATACATAAACACTCACAAACAGGGATTACGTGAAATAAAGCACAATAATGCGAACAGTAGAAACAGCGAAAATCAAAAAATTACAAGGACTTTATGTTTCAGCTTCTGTAATTCGCTGAAGAGCTGAAATCTCTTCATACGTGGATGTGTTAATAAAAGGGTGAACTAAGAAAACTTTTAGAATAACTCAAATGTGGAGAGAAATATCTGCGAACTGGCATTCCATGTATATGGCAAATATTTTTAGATAAGCGATGCGTTTCTTACCATTTTGGAGAAATAACTAAGAATGAATGAATGACAATCATCAGATCTGTTTTGAAAATGCAAAAACAGCTTTTTTTGGTGTGTGCAGAGAAATATCTTATATAATACCCGTAGAACAGAACAGATGATAACCGTCAGCATCATCTTCATCCCATTTATTAAGAGAGTTGAATTAAAATGTATGATCATAGAACCGAAATTTTATATCTTTGTGAGAAGTGAAAGTATCACCATCAAATCAGCAGTCGAATGGTAGTCAGCAAATGCATCAAAAGAGTTTGAAGTAACATGTCCGCTTGGCTGTATAGTCATTGTGGAAACTGAAGTCTTCACAACAGCAGCACGACATCATAATCACTTTTGTTGATATTTATAATTGCAATTAATTTCCCAAAAAAATACTGGAAGAAAACTTTTCATGCATGTTTCGCTGGTGCAACTTTCTAATAGCATACAAATGAGGGTTAACAATCCTGTGCAACGTAAATAAAACACCTGCAATGTAAGGTTTTTATGTAATTACGGTTGTTCTTTGTAAGATGTTACAAGTCTTATTGTACAAGCAGTGGTCATTAATATATCATTCGCTAAATTTGCACCCTGGGGCCCTGATTTCTTTTTCATCTAGAAAACAGTGAAGAGCATGGTAAGTATTATTATTCACTTACTGTCACAATGAATATAATCTGTGTATAAAAGACAAATAGAGATTCTCTGAATTGGGGAATCATTTTTCCGATCTGCTATTGGTGAGGGAGGTTGGAACTCATGAGCAGCTACATCGGTTGCCAATGAATGGATGGTTTATCAGATCGCCTTGGAACATGAATGTCCTAGGTTCTAACCTTGGCAGTAGGTAGTTATTTTCGAGGCAGGGACTCGAACTAGGAAGAAACAGATGTCCAATACTCCAAAGTATTTCATTGAATATGTAATGGATGTCAGCTAATGATGAAGTGCGGTAACTAATCAAATCCGCGCAAACCGAAACTTGTAAGTCCTTTTTATGTCAGCATTTTACTACTGTTTTATCAGACAATTTTTAATGCGAAATCAAGAAGACGCACAGTCATGTAACGTGAAAACAAAACACACAGAAAGTCGAAAACGTTAAACATTATGTTGTGGTTCTAAGCAAACACCAAACGTCTAAGTGATTTCAGACATTTTACATTCCCAATTCGATTAGATATCTGATCTCAGTGTAAAGCCTTCGGTGAAGTACGGTTGCATCATAGTAGATCACGTCTGCAATATAAATACATTTAAATAAATTAGTCGGCCACATGTGTGTAAAACGTGGCAGTACTGCACTAAAGAACAGGTGGCAGAAACGATAAACAACTTTTTTGCCCAGCAGACAACGAATCTCTTAAGGACCAGATACATTCACTTGTCATACACTACAAAACGCCTGGTTTCTCAATGCCAAACCTGCTATATATTAACATATATATATATATATATATATATATATTTACAAGAGAGTCTTCAATTTTCCAAATACATCTGATGCTTCAACTTTCCGATCAGATGAACACTAACTAGTAGCAGCGCAAATCGGCATCATATTAGCTTATTTAATAGATATATCACACAGTGAGTGTAACAGTATTATTAAATGGATTACCTCTCGAACACAATTTATTGTTCATAATCATATCAGTTATAATCACACAGCTTCGAAACCTGAGTTTTATAGTTTTCTAAGAGAGTTTTATAGCTTATAAGTGAGGACAAAAAAATTATGTAACTCAAGTTTCGAGGTTGTGTAATTATAATTGGTATGATCATGAACAGTAAATTTCGAAAAGTCCAGTATATAATACTGTTACACCCACTGTGTGATATATTCATTAAACAAACTAATATGGAATTGGACTAACACAATGCCCACGTTTCACGCATATAAAATTAGAATCACTTCTCGGACGGTTATATTCTCAGAAGCAAGCAATTTTTAGGATTTCTTCTAGTGTCAATTAAACATATTTTTTTCGTACAACGCTTTGAATTCTTAATTTCATTTGCTAAACATTTTCTTTCTCAGTATCAAAATCTGTATGAAAATTTCTGAATTCACTACACTGTGTACCAGTGCTATCCATATGAGTGCACAAGCAGCAATGATCCCGTTGTATTTGTTAATATTTACACAAAATCGAAATAATGTTTCCTCAACAGGAAGTTGTCGTGGTGAAGGACGTAAGTGATACTACACCTAAATTTAAAGTTTAACCAAAATAATACCTATAGATATATAGGAAATAATCTATGAAAGCAAAATTAAAATGCACAGACTAACATTTTAGATTATGTTCTTAATTTATACAAATTGTTATGATTATAAACAATAACAATTCGCTCTTGAAACGTTACTTAATAAATAACAGTGTTTCCCAATGTGGTGTATCCTCATTAACAAAGTATTATCGGAATGATGACTAGCACTGGAGCCGAGTTCTAAAAGTAAATTAGTTTGCGGTTTTTTCAGCAAACAAACATGCCTGAAATAATGACATCTGATATTTTCTTATTAAGAAATGTCAGTGACATTCTTGAACGGTTCGGTGGAAAGCAACTTCGGAAGAGCTTAGAGGTGGAACAATTTAGCAATTTAATTTCCCAGCAAATATCAATTAACTTATGTTTGACTGCAGACTGACAGCTTATTATTTGTTATACATAAACACTCACAAACAGGGATTACGTGAAGTAACGCTCAATAATGCAAACAGGAGAAAGGCAGGAACAATAAATTACACAGCGGACAGCTTCTTGGGGAGTGTAGGAAAAGTCAAGGTCTTTATGTTTTGGCTTGTGTCAGTCTCTGAAGAGCTTAAATCTTTTCTTACTTGGATGTCTTATTAAACGGATGGACTCAGAATAGATTTCGAGTAACTCAGAGGTGGAAAGAAATATATGCGAACCGGCAGACACTATGACGAAATAAAGAAATGAAAGCGTCTCACGCAATATATGTATACACATAGTATTTTAGAAGAGCAATACGGTTTTTACCAATTCAGGCAAATAACTTAGAATGAATAAACTGCAATAATCGGATCCTTTATGAAAATGTGGAATTTGCCTCTTTATGGTGGGTGCAGAGTAACAATCTGTAGGATGCTCGTAGAATATCATGGATAATAACCATCTTCAAAATCATCCCAGTTATTCATAAAGATGAACTGAAATTTCTGCTCATAGGACCAAAACATTAGATCTATGTGAAATGAAATGTCATCAGGTCTAAATCAGCAGTCTGATGACAGTCTACAAATGCACTGAAATAGTTTCAATTATCGTTTCAGCTAAGCAGCGTAGTCTTTGCAGAAACTGACGTCTCATCCTAATCGTGTTAAAGTGAACCCATCGTAATGTTATATTGTTGGTCTTAGTTCTATATGCGAACAAGTCTTGCGTGGACTGGTTCAGTCCATTGATTCCTGTAATAATGAGGGGACTGTGATGGAGAGTAAATTCAATATCTTTCACCTCAGCATCAGTTTAGCTTGGAATCTCTGTTGGTCCTCAGATATCGTGTTGATTTCCAAGGTTAGATTTTGTCTTACTTAGTGCATAAAGAATTTGAGAGTTCCTGGCATAACTCACTCTCTTCTCTTACAACTTATCAACGCATGCATCTCATTGATTCTTCCTCATTTTTTCACCCATATTGTCCCTTGTACTTCTCAAAGAAGACTGTATCATATAAGGTAGAACACTGAAGGTTGTGGAAACGTTTTGTGGTGTGTTTTGGACTCAGCTGATTGACAGTATTGTCAAATGGTACTTCAACTTTTGCAGACTGTTGGCTTAAGTTGTCCTGTATGATAATGGGCAGCGTCTTTGTTCTCGGATAAAGCCAGAAGAATCTTCATCGGAATTTAAGCTCGTACAACTAAATAAAACTTTCTGCCATCAGAATGAATCCATTTATTCCCAAACCCTGAGGCACACAAAATCTATGCCTAAAACCTACTGAATTTATTTCACAGGGCAATCACATAGTGAATCAGGTAAGTAGCGATATACTTTAGCATTCTTTTCTTGGCATTAGCGAGTCATCAGTATCCCTCTTTATGAATCTTTGCGAAATTTGGTGATGATTTCCCTCTGCTTGCTGATAATGTGATTATCTCTCAAGTAAACTTTATCAGAAATCAATTGATGTTTATAAATCAGCTGTAACATGTTGCACATGTCATTATGAAAGCAATAGCCATTAATAGAGCATTCTTTGAACATACACACTAGGTGATTGATTTCATTTTCATTGAAAGAACCATGAACAACAGTTAGGTATTCACATGCATTTACAGCCATATAGTCTCCCACAGTTCTCATTCAATTATGCCAAAAATATGCAATTCTTCACGGCACTAACTGCAGGCAATAATGTACTGTCAATGGACACAGAATATTATCTGTGTATAATAGCCAAATACTGATTCTCCGAAGTGAAGAATCCGCCTTGTGGCGAGGAATGTTCGAACTAATGAACAATCACATCGTCTGCCAGTGACTGAATGATCTATGAGCTCGCCTTGCAACAGGAATGATGGAACTAAAGATTAACATGGAAACCGGGTTCTAAACCTAAACTAATTTGAGATTTTCAGGCATATATCCAAACCTAAAACACTGATATCTTAAATTTTCATGCCTGCAATGTCAACGAAATTCTTGAACGGTTCGGTGTAGAACAGATTTAGAAGAGTGCAGAATTAGGAAAAGGTGTCACTATTTTCTTTCAAAGAGAATTTCGATGAATTGATGCTTGACTATGGCGTTTGTCTAACATTAGGGAATTGGAAAATTTTATGGAATAATATTGAAATTTTTGCGATATGTTGATGAATGTCATCATATGATATGCTGTCATCATTTCCATTCTATAAGTATTTTTCGAAAAATATATCCTGAAAAATATATATTGAACTTGATGAATTATGATGAAAAGTTGTTTATTACGAATTCCAAACCTTATTATGACCACCGAATGCGTAGAAATCACTTTTGATTTGCATGTTTGTTATAAGAAATTATCAGTGTAAATGCTTTCTGTCAGCATCTTTTCGAAATATTTGACTGCTTCACTTGCGAATACTGTATATGTTCCTGTTGCAATAACTGTAAATAATACATTTTTAACTCGGGTTTTGTTTAAAAAAGGTCTGGAATGAATGGTGAGTGTATTCTTATACGAGTGTCTTTTATTTCACGTCACCAATACGTGCAAAATATTTTAGATGAGATATATTGTTACACTATGAAGTGCAAGCCAGTATCAGCAAATAAAAACAAGTTCATTTTACGCAGTCCCCATGTATGAAGGCAATTTAGATGCTTCTGTGTACAAATCGGTTTTGCATGTATTGCAGTAAAGACGTGATAGATTTTATAAGTGTAAAATAGGCGGATGTCTATTGTCGTTCGTATGCTATTACAAATTTTGACATGAAATGGCCTCTTGCAGGTACTTTAAAATTCATTAGGTCTGGACTGCTTATGTAGAACCTAAATACTATTTTTTTATTTAAGTGATCACGGAATCCACAAAGCATGACTTATATTTGCACCTCCTTATATGAAGAAGGAATTCTTACACCAGTGCAGTTAGTGTATCTCGCTGCTAGATTCACGAAACCTAATACACAATGTATACGAAAGTGTAATTTGTTTACCACGATAGAATAGAATTCCTTTCGAAAGGAACCATTTTTTATAAGACGCATAGATACAGTATTAATGACTGGATAGCTTTCTGAGGGCTACTCGTTGATAATGATCACGTAACTAGATTATGAAAAAAATTGTGTTCTAAGCATCATCCAGCCAACAATAACGTTTACTTGTCTGTCATAAACGTTTTTAATTTTTGGATTGTTATTACAACCTGTCAGTTTATGAGTCTCTTACGCTAACGAACGTTTCCATAAGGTTGATTTCTGAACCACAAAGACAGTCTAGAGCCTTCAGGTCCTGCAAGAGAGAAGGAATACAGACATAAGACAAGAGCCCTTTATCTGTTTCGAATCAACAATGAAACGGCTTCACAGAAATTTCGCAGTTCAGTTTTCGAATGACCTTAAGAGACATAAAGTTCGTTGATAATTTAAAGCAGTCAACAACTATATATTAAAGATAGTTTTTTAGTTCTTTGGGAAAATTAGTTGTATATAACCGTCTGTTGTCTAAAATAACTTTAAATGTAGAAACTAACCTTCTGCATTATGGAACTTCAAACGTTCAATGCTTCTTTGAGAGAATTTGCACATAATTTAAGATTTTCTACATATAACAGCATTTAAAGTAGGATTTCTGTCAGCACTGAACACAGAACATTGAACACAGTGAAATGCACATCAGGTTAACTGCATTTCCTTACGTGAAAGAAGTAATGGTTCTCTTTAATTTTAACACTTCCAGAGGGCTTTATATTTAAGGTTTTGTTAGATATCGCCTTGAGCAGTTTAATACGGTTACCAGCTTTAGTGGAGTCGAAGTAGGCATTCAGCCTCACTTTTATATTATTTAGAAAATGCAGACAATTAGAATGAGATTAAATTCAGATAAATGGAATATACAATGCAATATATTATACTTAAAATAAAAGGCTTTCATGGAAACGTTACTAATTGCAGCAATGACCTTCTGAAGCTGTAAAGTTGCATATATATCACAAAGTTCCTCGGCTACAAACAAAGTATTTTCAAGGCCATTAAACCATGCAGTTAAGTGTTTGATGCTGCGTTTGGATAGCAAACGCTGATTGCGGCTGTTATACTCAAGTCCATAGGAGTACGTGAATTGTCAGTTATACATTAATAAGGCAAATAGTGGTAGCTTATCTCTCATGTTCATGATAATCGTTTATTCTGTAGAGAAAATTATTTGAAGTTCAGATGGAGAGAAATATTTATCCAGTAAATTGAATGGGGGATTTCTTATTTTGTTTCTGCCAATGAGCTGCCGCTAGGTGATAGGTTCATATACGGTTGTCATTTATGCGCTGCCGTTCAGTTCACATTGGCGAAAGAGTTGGACATCCAAGAAACGGGATGTCAACAAGGTGTGGCATTAGGAGATCAATACAGAAAGTTATTATAAACCGGCAGCTTAGCAGCTCCCACGGTGGAATACCCCAGTCTACAGATCAGTAGGACATTAACTGCAAGAATGCTGTGAAAAAGACTGTCCAACCCACTAGAGAAAATGGTCACCGGAGTTAAACCTAATCACGCTTTCTCTACAGAACCAATGATCCTCATGAATATAAAGGATAATCTTCCTCTTCTGACCTCAATAATATGTATCTATCAGTTCACCTGCCACTGTAGATCTGCTTATTTTGGCTTTGAAGTCATTGGCCGCACGCACACAGAAATCTTGCTTATCAAATGCGAATCAAACTTTGCCGAACTTAAGAAGCGATAGCAACTGATACCCTGAGTCCAGTAGGCTGAATAGAGAAGAATTATGTTCAGTCACTAAACCTAGAATAAATCTGATCTACGTTGATACCAGATGCCTAAGCTTTTTGTGTGTTAAATTATATTTTAAACCTCTACCTCCAACTATCGCATTTCTACTCCTTAATCTTATTGTTCTTGACGTTTTTATGGTTTTGCTTGGGTTCAACTCAATTTCTTTACTTGCATGACGCTACTGAATTTACAATTTTCTTTCAATTTCTACCTGAATAAAGCTTTCTGCATTGTGTAATTGTTGTGTTAACTTCACAGTGCCCATGTCGCATCATTGGTAACACTCCCTTTATGACTAGGAAATTTATTGTACTTATATACATATATATATATATATATATATATATATATATGCGATTAAATATCGCTGAAAGCCTTATTTTTTAATGTAATATATAAAACACCCATTCCTAAAATGAATTTTTTCGAGACATTTTCAAGGCGAATGTTTTGGTCTATGGTCCATTTCGAGTACTTCTGATTTATACTGCACACATGGAAGAAAGAACTATAGCAGTCTTTTCATTCCCTACTTGATTCAAGCTTCAAGAGGTAAGTAGTGCTGATTTGTTTTCGTTTTTCATATATATATGAGCAGCGAAGACACAATCCTATGAAATAGTCCATTGTTCTACATTCAGGATAAAGAAACACATATTTGAGTCTGTGTATCAAAGGTTGATTTCAGTTTATCAAAATTTTAACTGTGTCACACAGTTTCTTGAACGATCCAACATAACATAATTCTGGAATAACATAACAGAAGGAAGAAAATGTGTACTTAAGCTTCCTTTGAATTTCCTCTTCTTCTTTCGCCTACTGTTCCCTTTATCTGCTTGTTTTACAAATATGAGCTAAGATTCTTCTTAAAGCATCGCTTCTTAATCAGGAATTTTGTTCTAAGACTCTTTTCCTTCTATGGGTCTTTCGACTTCCTGAATGTTAATCCTTTACCTATCTTCAAATGTCTTATTGAAACCTTTGGTTTCGCATTTTTTCGTCATGATATATGTTAATTATTTTATTTCTTTGTGTCATCAGTCCAATATGTAGCACTGACCTTCCAGCAGCAGATCCCTTTATTTTTTAAGGAGGTGGGTTGCTGGCCTATCCCTCAACTTTCTCACTTCACTAGGCTTACTGTCAGTTAGGCGAGGTTGAGGAGTGCGAGTACTCTATAAATGAACTGCGAAACAACATCAGCATGTTAAGATCTCACATTCGCAAGGACTTTGTTATGCTATTAAATAATTCAATTTAGGTTTCTATACAGGTTGACGTGTACGAAAGCTTTAAATTACTCCAGTTATCAGGTGGGATCAACATTTGATATTTTTTGTGCATTTTATTAACCTATCGTATACGTTGGCAGTAATCAATAAGTTTTTTTATTTATTTCAATTCTACCTTCACCTTGTTAGCTCTTTTACCTAAAAACAGAACTTACTGGATGCTTATTTCGTTTTACATTTCAGAATGACGTCTGCACCAGTTTTAAAGAAGAGTGTTGTATTGAGAAATGACTACGCGATTTGCTTGAAGGTTTAATATAAAGTTCGTTTTCTTCTTTTTTCTAATTAAACATTTCAACTTTTATTTATTTTTTGTTAGTGAAGTAATGAAATAAATACAGTACTGGTGCATAAAAATAGTTTTCTGTTTAAGATATACTCGGGGTTGATTTTGGGAGTACTTGCTTTATTGAATAATGGACTAATGAACTAATGGACTCCAAGTTGCCCACTAGCCTCGAAGGCCAGGCATATTTATATGAATGATAAATAACACGTTACGCGGTAGTTAATGACTAAGTGTAGACTAAGTGTGCAATCAATTCTTAAAAATATCAATATTTATATGATGACGAGCTATCAGAAGAATTCAGTTTGTCACAAAAAGATTATGTGAAATGTTTTATCTCAATAAACGAGGCTAGATTAAACATTTCTATGTATAAAATTCGTGTTTTTTCTTAAACAGAGATGAATAAAGTCTCCACAATTACTAAATGGTTAGCGGTAGAACCTAGCTGGCGGTCATTCGGTGTTTTCTGTTTGATCATCATGGTGACTAGCGTTAAGTTCACTCTGTAAATAATGACAGCTTGTGTACACAACTTCACAGGAGCAGTTGAACATTTAATTAAACGTTACTATTACCAGGAGTGAGATATTGATCTTTATGATTTGTTCAAGAAGATAATCTATACAGATGGTGATATATATATATATATATATATGTAAGTGCACCTAGGAAATCTTTTCGAAAAGCTGTGCATTTCTCCTCAGTGTTGTAGGAAAGTTGGAATATTGTTCATACGTTATTCAGGATTCAGTTGGTTCTAACGCATGATCCTCATGTTAAAGCTATGATGTCTGTCAAATATCCGTAAATTGGTTAGAATTTGACCTACTCGGTTCACTGAAGATCTCCAAGATGCAAGTTAATTAGGTTGATGATACGCTCTTAATACGATACATGCATTCTCGACCAAAACGGTAGCCACCATTTATATAAAGAAGGTTGTTTATGGCGAGGAAATACGAGATAACCGATGAATAAAGCAACGTAATTCGTAGTGCAGATCCAAATTATAATCATTTATATACACTGACATCTCTTAATTATTTGCTTCACCTTTTAACCATCACTCGCTTGTATCAACTTTTAAAATGATCTTTACCGTATCACACACGAGTCAAAATTGGCCCAGTTATATTCAGAATCCAACTGCAAGCCTGGCGTGTATTGCCACTCCGTATTTTCCCTAGATAATGCTCCGCCCATGTCACTTTCATCCTGTATACATTTGTTGGCCAAAGGGTTATTGATGTGTCCACTACTAGAGTCCTTCTTTGATTACTATTTATAACTGACTGTTCTTCAGTGTTCAAGGGTATCTGTTGATGAAATCCTGCAACGTGTAAGAAATTTTTTCCGGTGACGTGTGTGCCATGTATTTAAACTGAGTAGGTGTATCGGCTTGATGTTACATTGTTAGTCAAAATTCAGGCCCTGTTTCTCAGAGTAATGAGGGACCGTCTTTCTTTTTCCATCCTGGCTTGGACATTTTTATTCCTTCCACCATCTCCATCTTCCTTGCGTTCATCTGAAATTCTGTCTTCACTACCTCTTCTGTAGACTTATCACTTTTTCATTTGGAAATCTTTTAGTTTTCGCAACACTAAATACTTACAGACTCTCCAGAGTGCTTTTGTCAGTACAGTTTATGCTTTTACTCTTCCTCACGGTCTATCGAATAATCCAGTCCAATACATTGGGGAAGATCTTCAATATAGTATGCAGCCAAGTATTCATTCCAAACTTTTCAAGGAACTTTGTGTTGTGAGTCACTTGGCACGTGACATCATCACAGAATTTTCATGGGATGTCTATATCGGCTCAAAAAACTGTATTATACACTGCTGAGATCGTTTCCGAAATGCACCGCAGTCATTGCTATCGACAGACATTTCATAGGCAATGAAGTACGGTTGAAAAGTTGACTGCTATTTTATCCCCTATTCTAATGATTTCCGTGATATTCTCCTTCCTGAATTCATCTTTCTTCTTCTGAGTATTGAATGTGATATGTGGTCCATCTACAGCTTTCTGAAGGCTTTCGGCTTCATCTTAATTGTTCCTTGCACTGTATACTATTTCCAACCTTATTTACGGTAGGCTGCGTCTCAACATTCTTATGGGCGACATAATATCTATATGAATTTTAATGTACCTATTCTAAACAAAAAGACGTCTTTATGTGCTTAAAATTGCGCTGAGAAAGTAGTCAACCAAAATATAACCCGTAAAAATACTTAACAAGTTAATGCCTGCCAAATTCTAGAAATTTCAGCTAAGCTGTAAATGTTGTCTGACTGTTGGAAAAATTAGATCACCCTTAATTTTGCTGGAATATAGAGAAAAATGCAATTAGTGAGTCTAATGTTGATAGTGCTATTTCAGGTTGTCCATAGCTTGTGTGTCGATATGTCAGCGAATGTGAAGTGGTGTTTTATAAATATTTTACAGTAATCATGTTTGTTGTGCAGTACATTGTTACCAAAGGTAATTTGATCTCCTGAATTTTCATGAATAGGCTAGTTTTAGTGTAGAACTGTAAGGAGAAATGCTTACGTTCTGTGATAATCGGTAACCCATATTCAATGGCGCAGTCATGGGATAAATTATTGTTGCTGTATATCCATCCAGCAGTTGATGATTTATATTTTTGGCACGTGGCTGTACTTCATTTCTATGGAGTAAACAAGACTTAAGAATTTCTGAGCTGATATTACCTGGCGATGCATTGATATTTACCTTCCATTCCTCGACCATTTCAGCAGCGACGACCTCACAAATGTATTTATATTTAAAGCAATGGGACAGGATCCCAAGTATAAGCTAATATAAGAGATATGAGTTATCGTAAACGGTCACTAATGGTCTTCTTCAGTAATACAAACTAAAAATGATTAATCTAAGAGAACTTTTCCTCTCAAAATGTGGCTGGCCAACTGACATTTACCTCTTTTCAGCATAATATTGTTAATGCGACAGTCCAAAACCATGATTTCTTCTTAACTGTTTCGTACCTGTCCAATTCACGATCAAGGGTCCAATGAATTTCGTAACTGCGTCCTACAGGGTCCACCTACTGTTTTTAAATTGTTAAAAATACATCATCAGGGAGGCATCGATGGAAACTTTGTTCAAAACTTCTAACTCTGCCCCTGGAGTTCTCGGACAAATGAACGTGGAGACATATTTTTATTCTCAGAGCATATTAATTTTCCTTTAGAATGGTAAAATCAGTCTACGTTAGTGCAAAAACTAGAGATCTGGCAAAATGTTTTTTTATCGCCCCATCTTCCGGGTTTTTGAGAACTAGTCCAGTAAATGATGCACCCGTTCAATATACTGGAAACTATTGCAGGTTCACGCATTATTTTAGAAAGACAAGTGACATTTAGGTGTCCCCCAACTTCATGATAATAGCAAGTAGTACCCTCAGCGACACAATGAATTAAATCATTAAACATATTGCTAAACTCTGTAGCCTACTATTCCCCTGTCTTTCACCGACACGAATCAGATCACCTGTAGGTAAGGTGGCAGTCACCTTCATAACATGGAAGTTGAACGTGCATTACCACTCATTATCATTCATAAAATGTCTCAGAAGGTCTTCGTTCGCTTTTGAAATACTCAATAGCTTGTTATTCTTTAGGCAGAAGGCAGAGGCATATTCCTCGAATATGTTGCCACTACCAAGCAAAATCCAACCAAAAATATGGATTTAAATGGATGACTGAAGTTCTTGTTTTAGTGGTGAAGGAACCAGGTATCTAGGTATGACGACCAAACTAACCTGCAGAATTTGAATCGCCAACAAAGGGATGTATTCTATATAAGGCGCTGTTTTATCTACTGGTTTTTATACAGTACTAGCCCGACGATTCTTCCACGACGTAAGTTATCTTCTCATTCATTTAATGTTATCTCTTTAGGGAATCAAATATAGAATCAACTTTAAGTCCTAACAGAAAGGATACATAAACCAAGTTTTGGTTTGGAGGGATTTGAATGTTTACGAAACTCATCACGAACAGACTTCAGTTAGATAACCGTTGCAAAACCTAAGAGTACTGGACATCTTTTTCTTCCTAGTTTGGGACTTTTCAATAGTACACACAAGGTGAGCTACAAACATAGGACCATGCTGACCAAGAATCTAAGTTTATCTTTGTGACTAAGTGAAAAAATTAGGCAACCCCATTAAATCTTGACCGCATCTCTCCGGAACCCTTTAGTAACTTTCACGTTGCCATTCTGATATATATCCACATAATATGTGTGTTTGTTTGACAGTCTGTTATATTTTGCTATGTATATATGTATCAATATTCCATTATAATTAACAATCATGTTTAGACTGTCTATTGATTCGTTCATTTTTGAACATTCGCTCATACACTAGTGTTCACACACTTGTTCGGACATTCATACTATTTTACTCACACAATTGTGTGACATTGATTTTCCTTGTTTGGAAAATACAAGTATCATCGTGAACTTGGTGGTTTTCTGATTTCCGCTTTCTTGCATCAGGACTATTAAATTCTCGACCAGTACATAACACATCCTTCCACCATCAGATACTCAGGCAAAACAGCTTGCTGCCTTATATAGCTGTTTTTCTAGTAGCTCTGTACGATGAAGAGAATCAGGCTCTAGAGATTTATCAATATTTGTTGCAAGTTCTTCCCAGTTCCATTACAGGTGTGGAGGCAGACAGTTTCCATCTACCTTACCGAACTCCACTACTTCGCTACATCGTCTGGACACAGTTGTGTGACTGGTAGGGGGAAGAATTCAGATATTGCGTGGAGTCAGCGACATTTGCTGCCCAATATCTGAAATCAGAGAGAAATATAATGCAGTGCACCACAGTCCCCTTAGCAATGCCGAAGGAAATATGTACCGTATGCCTATTAATTCCTTTATTATTCGTCCCTAATGACAGTTTCTTTTGTGGATAACTTTAT